AGTGCATGTGGTGCGTTCCTAGTAGGCGAGCGAGTTCTTCGCAGGCTGCTGGTTGAACTTGAGCTGGATTGAGTGACTGCTTCTCTCCGTCCGTCGTGCTGCCTACTCTGATGTGAGGTGGATGATGCTCCTTGTGGGCTTAGCCGCGAATGAACACTTTGTCCGGAAGGTTGCTCATGTTGACTATCGGAGTGTGACCCCAACCGTGAATGTATGCTCATCCGCGGGCCTAGTCGAGAGTACACGCTCCTCCGCGCGCTAAGACGGGAGTATACGCTATCTCGGGGGCCCAATCGGGAATGTACACTGCCTGAACATTCGGCTCGTGGCTGGTCGAATGGCTGCTTGCCGGGATGCTGCTGGAAAGGTTCGTCTGCCCTTGTCCTACTTTAGGATACCTCGTCCGGGGCACGTTGGATCCCGATGCGTTGCAAAAGTTGATTCACCAAAGTTGTCTGTTGTGTAAGGGCGCTCGTCAACTCTATGACTTGTCGAGACAAGTGTTGTTCGCCATTTGGATTGGAAGAGCTTGGAAGGAATGCGCCTCCTTGGGCAGTGGAAATGTGGTAGACTCCGGGCGCGAGATTTGAATTGGGAAATGTCAAATCTGCGAAAAAATATGGTGAGAATGCCCCCAGCTCGATGGTAGGTCCGGATGGTTGAGATAGTCTTGGGTCGACTTGGGCTGCTTGGAAAGCCACTGGACCATGATGGGCCGTGAGAGTGGGCTGCTTGTCGGGAGCAGGCTGGGTCACGAGAACAGGCTGCTCGGCAGGAGCAGGTTGGGCCGTGAGAGTGGGCTGCTCGACGGAAGCAGGCTGGACCACGGGAGTGAGCTACTCGTTGGGAGCAGGCTGGGTCACGAGAGCAGGTTACTTGGCAGGAGCAGGCTGGGCCACATGAGTGGGTTGCTCGACGGAAGCAGGCTGGACCACGGGAGTGGGCTGCTCGTCGGGAGCAGGCTGGGTCACGAGAGCAGGCTGGACCACGGGAGTGGGCTGCTCGTGTGGAGCAGGCTAGGTCACGAGAGCAGGCTGCTTGGCAGGAGCAGGCTGGGCCACGGGAGTGGGCTGCTCGACGGAAGCAGGCTGGACCACGGGAGTGGGCTGCTCGTTGGGAGCAGGCTGGGTCACGAGAGCAGGCTGTTTGGCAGAAGCAGGCTGGGCTACGGGAGTGGGCTGTTCAACAGAAGCAGGCTGCTCAACGCGCGGTGCATGTGAATGCGAGGCTTGGGCTTGGGTCCATGTAAACTTGGATGGCACGGCTTGGATCGTGGTCTTGGTACCGTGAGCCTTGGATGGCACGGCTCGGGCCGTGGTGAAAGCTCCATGGACCTCGCCACGAATGGCTACCGAAGTAGCCACCGCGGTGGTTCCCATGGTGGCCGTGGTGAAGGCACCATGGACCTCGCCGTGGGTGGCTACCGAGGTAGCCACCGCGGTGGTTCCCATGGTGGAAACTCGTGGTGGTGATGCTACTCCCCTTATTGTTGCATTTTGCCTCACGGATCTCCGCACTCCCATTTCTTGAACACTAGAATTTTCACTTATGGAATTTTCTAAATTTCTAGCCATTATATTTTGCTTATACGTTTTATCAAAGAACCTTTGCAAATAAAAAATTCTAATAATAAGAACGTATGAAAAATATTCAAATGGACTAGAAAATAAAGAAAAAACCTTTTTTGTGCGAGAGTCTTCTACGAGTATGGATTTCAACTCTCAATGAAAGCACCAATTTTGTGGATGCAAATTTCTTCCTTCTCGATCTTGGACGATTTTGCACCTACAAAACAATTAACACCTTAGGTTAAGGCCAAGAGCCTCACGCGCCCACGATGAATGGGGGGGGCTTTGGCCAAAGAACCTCCGATGCCAAAGTTAGAATTTAGAGAGAAAGAGTGTTTAGAGAATTTTGGGATTTTTGCCAAAGTGTTGGAATTAGCTTTTTGGTGAGAATGGGAGTATATTTATAGGGATAGGAGGTGGCTAGGGTTTTTAGGTTTAATTAGCCAATTTATTTGGGTATTAAACATAAGATGAATGTTTTGGTGGTTTTTGAATTTATTGGGTAATAAAAAGGAAGAAATGGTGAAAAAGGTAGAAAAAAGTGATGGATTAGGTTTTGAAATGGGGATAGCCGGCCATGTGGTGTTTTAGGGTTGAATTGGATGTATTTTGTAGTTATTTGGATATAATGGATGATTTAATTGACAATTAATGGGTTAATTAGGCAATAAACCCATTAATTAGCCAATTAACATAATTTAAAAGGAATGTGTTTGGGAATTACCTTGTAGAAAGGATTTGATGAGATGGATTTTGAATTGTTACCTATTTTGGGCACTTCTGTCTTGGTTGAAAGAGGGTTGCCCGCTGCTTGCGCGTAGGAACCTCGTTGTACTGCAAGGGTATTTTTGTCATTTTTGTCCAAAAATCCACGTGTCGCCCTGTGAATATTTTTGGCTCCACAAGTATTATGTTTTTCATTTGATTATTTATTGGTTTAAAATATATTTTCCTTAACGGGTAACAGGTCGGGTCATATTACCTGTTAATATTATCGGGTCGATTTCGGGTCGGGTCATTTTACCCGTTTATTTTAACGGGTGTTACACGACACGACCCGTTAAGATATCAGGTATGACACGAAAACGACACGAACACGAAAAACACGACACGAGTGCCAAGTCTAATTATTGCTAGCCCATTGTAAATAAATCACCGAGCTATTAGTTGTGCGAGATTAAATATAGGAATAGGGACAGGCCTAAAAACAGTACCGGAGTGTTTTGTTAAAACTCTCAATATAATAAGGTTTAGGGTGTGAATAAATCATGAATTTACTAGTAAATAAAGACAGGCCTAACGAGCCACGGAGGCCCAATGTTGGAACAGTAGGCCCTTTTCTCCAAACCATACCGGCCGAATTAGGACCCAAGTAAAAAATAAGGAAAGAGAAAAAAAATAAAGCACGGAACCGACGTCGTTCCTAGTCTCGCGCGATTTGTCCGTCCACAATTTCATTCCGTACAACACAAACAAGTTCAGCAGCCTCGGACAAAACTCTCCGACTCGACGACTAGACAATGGCGTTTTCCACCACCCCCAAAACCCAAATGCCGCTGCCGCCTCCACCGACGCCACCACCACTACCTCCACCTCCACCTCCGGCAGACCATCTGACGGGAGTAGAAGTTGCAGTTCGTCTCTGCCGTGACGCCCAAGGTAACTAAAACGTCACAAACCCCAACTCTCTTCTTATCTTCTTGCTTGTGGGTGCTTGTAGTTTTGATTAGATTCTTTTGGTAAATGTGATGTTTCTTTGGATTATTTTCGTGAGTTTACTTGATGAATAGCCGTTTAAACTAATTTTTGATATTTTTTGAATGGGTTTATTTTCTTGGTTAATGCAATTGTTGTGCTTTTGATTTTCTTTCTTCTTGGTTAATGCGTGTGTGTGTGTTTCTTTATTTGTTGCTGGATTTTGTGAACGCACAGGTTTATTTCTTAGTTCTGATCTTATTTGGTACTTTCAGGGTATCATCTTCCAAGAAAAACTGGTTCTGGGAATGTCTCGGTGAAGAATTCAATCATCAGCACTCACTTGCAGCGCTTTTGCAACGCGCTCAAAGAAAATGGGAAAAGTAAAGGTTTCGAGGAGTCATCCATTACCACTATCAATGCTCTGAATGATACAATCGTTAACGGGAAGAAGCTGTGAGCCCTCTGTTTCACTTGTTCTCTGTCTTTTTATTTGTCAAACTGTCTTCTCCTCTAATGTTCTTTACTTGGGAGGTTGGATTATATCCATTCCGGACAATGGACATGCATGTTTCTGACCTTTTTGAAATAAGTAAAACCTGTGGAGCTTTTGGACAGATAATTCGCATGTTCATTACATTAGCTAAAACTTATTTGTTCTCCTTCATTCCTATCACAACAAGATGGACCTTACCGATGGACCAACTATTGAATCTTGGATGGAAATTTCTTTTACCTATTGCTCTCGGTGATCTATTTTTACCAACCTCTTTCCAACTCTTTTCGCTGTACAGTTGCATTCTATATTCACAACTTGTCTCAAAAAGTTATTCTTAACCGAATAAACTTCAATAGCTGATTTTTACAGATGTTAGATTCTGTATAACCTCCCCTTTCATGTCTTTAGTTGTTCGATTCTGTATAGTTGTTGATACTTACATTTGCTTATATTTCTAACCTGTCATTTCTCTCAGATATGTGTCAAATTTTATCAAGAAAACTGACAAGATACATTCCCATGACAAACCATTATGTGCGACTGTGTGCGTGAAAAATTTGGACCCAAATGCCTCTGAGGATCTGCTGCTGCTGCTAGGTAAATGTCCCAACTTTCTTCATCTCCTAGAATCTAAATGTGCATCGCGATTAGAATATTTGTTTGTTGCATGGGCTCAAAATAGAGCTCATAGTGTTTCATTTGCTGCTACTTTTTCTTCTGTTAAGGCTACATTTTGCCCACATCTGTCTGACTTGAGTTTGTTTATGTTAGAAACAAATTCCGAAGCCAGACTAACGTCTCTGGAACCTCCAAAGTGGGCTGTCCTCCGCCCAATCCAGTGCAGTGTTTCTCCTAGGCCTCCTCCTCATCCTATGTTTACCATCCGACAGCCTGTCAATCGTTCCATCTCACAAAACGACCTGCGCCACTTGTCCTCATGCGTAAGAACTCCAAGTTCTCACCTAATCAGTCTTTTGCCCTGCGTCTCTACATTTGCGTGTTTTGTACGTTTGTAGTGCTAGGATTGCGAATTTCCAAAAAGAATGCAGGCTCAGTTTTTCTTTCTTTCCCTTTTTATTATACGACAAGACGAAGAAAAGTGCGTCTAGTTTCCATCGTATAGTATTGTTTTAAAGTTGAATTCATACAACTCCTAAGGCACGTTATGGACATACAAACTTAAGCTTGAGAATTTTCAATTCACTCATGAAGGTGGGACTTGGTGTTGCACAGGTGGGTGAAATTGTAAAGAATCGTGGATTGATGGTATGCATAACCATAGGATCAGCTCAATCTCAAATGTTGGAACTTTCAGAAAAATGGCAAACAGAGGTGTGTCGCATACTTTATTAGTTCTATGCACTTGCAGTTTCCATCAATTTTATGTTCACATATACTCCACACATTATGTTTGATACTTTTAGTGTTCTTCCAGTTGACACTTTGCTAACGGTTCTCATTATGCTTTCTTTGGTTGTACAGGCCACGCCCTATGACTATGACAACCCTGGAGCCGGAGGGGGCGGAGGGGGTGATCTTTAGACGCAGTTGTGGGTAATGCCCTAGCCTTGGCTCTAGTTCCAGTTCCAGTTCCAGCTCCAGCTCCACCTCATCAGGTTGTGGATGGAGGAGCTATCATCCCAGTAGTTGGTGATGGGGATGGTGGAGGTGGACCAGGGGCTGAAGGAGGAGTTTTGCCCAGAGATCCAGTACTCTCGGTCTATGGGAGTATGTTGGGATGGCAGAACCCATTCAACTTTAATTCTCGATTTCAGTTCTCCCTGAATCTTGACATAGTCCATGGTGTGCACGAGGTGGAGCATTTCATCAGGGGAGCATACACCTCTCTTTTTCTTAATGCTGGTTTTTTGGTTCCGGACCGTTTTATTTGCACCTATTGGCTCGATTTTGGAGAAGGTGGAGGTCAGGTGATGGCATCCGAGCAGGCCATGGCTCTCACATGGCAGCAGTTCTACGAGAGCGCTGATTGCGTGCTGGCCTTACCGCATATGGATGGGAAGTCTGTCAATCTTTCTAGGGTGTTGGAGGGAGGCATATGGGCTAACAGAGGGACTGTGAATATTAGAGCATATGGAAATGTGCTTGACATGGAGGCCGATATGGTCGCTCTTGTTTATCCGGGTTTCGCGGAATTCCCTGCACACACATTCCAGTATTGGGTTGACGGGATATGCATGACCACACAACAGATTTTAGGTTTGCAGTGGAATGTCATAGATAGGTATTTGACAGCAGTTGATTGTTGGGATTTTTCGGCCCGTCAGGCTGCAGTTATGGGTGCTGTTGCTGCAGAAATGCCTCAGGATGAGATTGGCAACGACATGATGGGGATACCACCGGAATTGGTTAACGAGTGACCGCCGCTATCTAGCTATATGGATGCTTTAGCTTTTATGTTGTTTTTATCTTCTTGAGAATATATGGATGCTTTAGCTTTGTTGTACAGCTTCCTTATGGAGCTTCAGAGCATGTCAAATATTTTTTGTTTTTACCTTTCACCATTATACAGAGTAGAACAGTTGTCATGTTCACTTGTAACACCGCCACACGTGGCGTCACAATTTCATTCAAATTGTAATACAATGTATTTGGCTCTGCCTCCAAACTGGCTCCTCAGCCTCATGTGTTCCCTTCCTTCCAACCACAAAGCTGAGCGTAAGAGTGGTGATCTTGATGAGCTATAATCTGTTCCTCTCGTGCCCCCCTCCGCAACCTTCGTCTTCAACCTCCACTCTTCCCCTTGTCTCACTTCCCAACATTCCATTTTTCCTTCACTTCCAAGCAACCCATTTGCTCCCTTCTTTCTTCTGGGTCCATCAAACTCAAGAATTTTAGGATCTTAGACCATGTGCAATGGTGTGTGTGTCTCAAAACCTAACCGAGAAACAGCTTTTATCCTCCGATGATTTTGGCTTCAAATTTTAGGCCTGCACGATTAAAGAATATTTGTAGTCTATTTTTCTTTAGGTAACTTTCTTAAATGTAAATTATTATTTTTGAAAGCTATTCGTTGAATGTTCATTACGTCCAGCAATGTACTTGCCAATGTCACTATTTTCCGCGCCTTCCAATTTCTAGAAAACTAACCTACGGACTATAAACATAGACTCAGTGTGTGGCTTAATCTCTTGAAGCTGCCACCAGATTTTGTTGTGGCAATTGTGCCTTCTTTTCCCCCATGTTTTCATTCTGTCGCCTAGCAGAGCAATGGAGATTCCGGTGCTAATGTGAAGCGCCTTGAAAGATCAGTCACCTCTCAGCAGAGCGCTCAAGGATTTCGAATGATGTTGTGCAGTTGCTTCTGAAGCAAGTGACTGACAGTTGAGTGAAATTTCAAACTCTTGCAACCATTGTATTCTTGTTGCCTGCAGACTCGTCCTATTCCATAAACTTGTGGTGCTGTGGTTGGTATCCATTTCAGATGAAAGAAAATTATGTTGCAGGAATTGTTCGGCCAATTGAGTGGAATTTGGTACTAGTTGCGTCTTGTTTTAGTCGTTCAAGTCGGGCTTCATTTGGCACAACTCTTGCACTTTTTAAGATTTTTCGAGGATTGGAATTGCGATTTTTACAGTTTATGAAGTTTGGCTGCAAGTCTTTTTTCACAAATTGTTTGCATTGTTCCTTGGATTTGAACTTGTTCCAAAGAAAATTTAAGATGCTGTGCTAATATTACTCTTCAAGCTGCCCTAAGTGTAAAGAAATGCAGTGTCATCTCTTCCTATCTTTTACATGCAACCAAGCTCCCCTCTCTTTCTTACTCACCTCAACAATACCTCCTCATGTATACTCTCTACATTCCTAATCATTACGGGCAGCTTCAAACAAGTTCCAAATCAAAAGCCAAGAGATTATAGTGAGTGCCACTGAAGAATGATATGGCGAATCGAAGCTACTATGAATTTTTTTGCCAACAATCAAACAAACACTTGGACAACCCATATGAGCTCGTGTGCCCATTAGGCTTCGGACGTGGATGAAAGGAGGTTGAGATTCAACTGTAAAAGCAATTGCTCTTTGATTTTAAGACCAAAACAGACTTGTCCTCCCAATATTTTCTCTTCCATTTTCTAAAGAGAACGACTCTTCATTCTGACCATATTCAAGGGATCTGACTAGATTATGGGAGAGAGAAAAGATATATTACACACAGTGCACGAATATTACAGCCCTTTGAAGCGGATTTAAATAAAAAAAAGTATACCACATTGTACAACCACATGACAATAAAGAAGAAATATTACAGCCCTTTGAAGCGGATTTACACACAGTGCACGAATGAAGAAATACACATAAAAAAATGCCACCTCCGTCGAATGACCTGAGAGAGAGAAAAGATCAACTACAAAAACAGACAGAAAAGAGAGCGGGGAGGGGGAAAATGTAGGAACAGCTTTGAAATCAACACACAGCCCGCACAGAGAGAGAGAGAGAGAGAGAGAGAGAGAGAGAGAGAGAGAGAGAGAGAGAGAGAGAGAGAGAGAGAGAGAGAGAGCTCTTAGGACATAAACCTTAACAAATTTACCTGCAAGCCCACTGTCTAAGATAAAAAGGTCGTACCCAGTGCACAAGGCTCCCGCTTTACGCAGGGTCTGGGAGAGGTGAATGTCGGCTAGCCTTACCCCCATTTATGGAGAGGCTGCTCCCAAGTCTCGAACCCGAGACCTACCGCTCATGGGCGAAGGCACTTGCCATCGCACCAAATCATTGTACCCTTGAGAAATATAACATGATGCTTCACCTTGACCCAATGACTAATGATGCTGGGCAATAACACGTATTTATTAGAGAGAAAAATACAATCATTACAACCCCTCTGGCTCTAAATCATTGAAGAATAAATACCTGCAGTATTTTGGAAGCATGAAACTCCACGCAGAAACTAGATTAACGTGTTAGACCAAGTCATAGTCCGCGTGAGGTTTCAAGAGTTCGTGATCAAGTCCAACTGTTATCCAACAAGAGTTAGTTTAGGTTAAAACTCTTTCAAATATTCCTTTCCGTGTAAATCCCAGTGTGATCTTTCTGTTGTATCTTTGATTTTCAACTATCCTTGTAAATAGGGATTTCAGTTCCCTGATGTAATCTGAAATACATTATAAATACATGCAACCCATCACTGATTGGGATATGCAATTGAAGTGAAACTGTGAGTGTTGTAAGTTTTACATGGTATACGAGCCCTAGCAGTCTAACGACACATATCAGTTTTTTTTCTTCTTCTTCCATGGCCGATTCTAGCAACGGTGCTGCAACCCAAACCTCCAACCCCGCCAATTCCACCATGAACCCCTTCTCGTCGTTGACCACAGTGGTGAATATTAAGCTGGATCGGACCAATTATCCTCTATGGTTGGCTCAGATCTTACCTGTTCTCAAAAGTCGGGACCTGATGGGTTACGTCGATGGGACGGTTGTTTGCCCTCCCAAACAACTTTCTGGCAGTACAACTACCAATCCTGCGTACACAACATGGGTGCAGTACGATCAAATGATACTCAGCTGGATTAATGGATCGCTCACGCCGTTTGTGCTCTCGGTCGTGGCCAGCAAGAGGACCTCTCGTGCTACCTGGGAGGCTCTTGAGAAACGATATGCCTCTACGTCCCAGAATCGCATCTTGTTTCTGAGGAATGAACTACTACAAACAAAAAAAGGTGATTTGTCGATTGCTGATTATCTTGATAAGATGAATGCTATTTCTGATAACCTTGCCCTAGCTGGCAAACCTGTGGATGATGATGAACTTGTCCAGATTATTTTGAACAATCTTGGGCCTGCTTATGAGATGACAGTGAACGCTGCTCAGGCACGTGATACTCCAATCACGTACCCTACGCTTGAGGCGCTCTTACTGACAACCGAGAGGAGGATGACTGAGCAAGCTGCTCCCCTCATGGAGGCTGCTCCTGTTAATGCCTTTGTCACAACCAGAGGTCGTGGTGGACGATCTCGTGGAACTGGACGAGGAATGGCTCCAGCTGGACGTGGTGGTGTTGCTGGAAACCAGCGCGGCGCCAATCCCCGCAACAATTATTTCAATAACAGTGTAAGACCTAATTTTGCATGCAATGGTGAAAAGTTCAATAGTGCAGGCGAACGGATTACTTGCCAAATTTGTGGAAAACAAGGGCATCCTGCCCTTGATTGTTACCAAAGAATGAATACTGCGTATGAAGGAAGGATCCCAGCCAAGAACCTCACTGCCATGGCCACCTCTCAAATCCCTCTTAACCGACAAAACAATGGTCAGTGGCTGCTTGATACTGGAGCCAATGCCCATGTCACTCCCGATCTTAAGAATTTGGTTAATCCAAAAGAGTATCACGGTAATGAGAATGTGGGTGGAGTAGGTAATGATTCTGGAATTTCTATTTCTCATCTTGGTTCAAATACTTTACAAACTAAATCTTGCTCATTTGAATTGAAAAATATCCTAAGATGTCCCACTGCTTCCACACATATTATTTCTGCCCACAGATTTACCCTAGACAATCATTGCTATATACTTATTTTCCCTCATTTTTTCCTTGTCAAGGACCTCAAGACCCGGAAGACGCTTTTCCACGGGAGATGTGAGAATGGCTTATACCCATTTTCAGGTGGCGGTGGACAGTTTAATTACCCTATTTCAGTGTGTGTCGGCGTTCGAGTCTCGGCTCATAAATGGCATTCACGCCTTGGGCATCCTGCCTCGTCTATTGTCCAGTTTTTAATTTCAAATAAGAAAGTTCCAATTCTTGGTGCTTCCAATGTTAAGTTTTGTCAGTCATGTCCCTTAGGCAAGAGTACTAAATTACCTTTCAGTAGCTCGGAGTCTGTTTCCCAATTCCCTTTACAACTTTTGCATTCTGATGTTTGGTGTTCGCCCGTTAATTCAGTTGAAGGTTTTTGCTATTATGTGTTATTTGTGGATGATTATTCTCGGTATTCTTGGGTTTTTCCAATGAAAACTAAATGTGAGGTCTTTGAAATCTTTGTGAAGTTTAAAGCACAGGTTGAAAATATGTTTAACAGGTCTATCAAAACTCTTCAATGTGATGAAGGTGGTGAATATAAAAGTCATGTATTTCAAACCTATCTTGCCACTCATGGCATTTCCCAAAGATTTTCGTGTCCAAAACATCCTGAACAAAATGGCATTGCCGAAAGAAAACATCGTCACATTATTGAGACTAGTATTGTCATGCTTTCTCATGCACATATTCCAAATAAATATTGGGTGGATGCTTGTTTAACAGCTACTTATTTAATTAATAGGTTGCCAAGTCGTGCCTTGTCTCACAAGTCTCCCTATGAACAACTGTATGCCAAAATGCCAAAATATGAAACTCTTAAAGTGTTTGGCTGTCAATGTTATCCCTGGTTAGTGCCTTACGCACAAAATAAACTCCAACCAAAGTCAAAACCCTGTGTGTTTTTAGGTTACTCACTGAATCATCAAGGGTACAAATGCTTAGATTTGTCCACGAGACGAATATATTTGTCTCGCCATGTTCTATTCGATGAGGACACTTTTCCATTTAAGGAACTCACATCTTCCTTGGGGAGCGTTGGATACACAGGTAATATGACTTCCCCTGACTTATTATTTACGTTTCCGCTTTTATCTCCATCACCACAGTCCACTTTGTTGCTTCCTAGTCCGCCTTCATAGGTCCAACCCCAACCAAATCCCATATCTTCTGCTATTCCTCAGTCAAATAACCTCATCCCAACCTCTAGTTTACCTGCTCCTAGTGACCCACCAGCCCTACTGCCTTTAGAATCCTCTAGGTCTGCCACCCCATCTTCAAATGAGCAAGAGGCGTTACCAGTTCCTGAACTGAACCAATCTGTGTCAGTTGATGATCACGGTCCTACTTCCTCCACCCAACAGTCTGTGCCACCCGCAAGAATGATTACTCGTTCACAGTCTGGCATTCAAAAGCGTAATCCCAAATATGCTTTGCATGTTACTATTAATCCTTCTCTTGTTGAACCAACATGTTTTAGTCAGGCCATCAAGAATCAGGAATGG